TATATATATATATATATATATATATATATATATATATATATATATATATATATATAAATATATATATAAATATATATATAAATATATATATAATCTTAAACGCGTACAATTTTCATCAATGATATTACCAAAGAGCGTCTCGCGATAATGCAGCTGCAGCTACAGCTTTAACGTTCGTACAAAGTTCTACATTCGCATGCATGGTATCGACACAATAGCGTTTGTCGGTGACACCTCTCTTCGATAATGTTTTATCGAATATTTTTACGAATCATTTTCTTTTGTGCCTGAATCTCTTGGTATCAACATAACCGTGAATCGCTTCTCTGTGCATTGCGTTGCATTTGTAGCTTAAATATGTTGGTCGCAACCGAGACACTTTAATATCGTATGTACTTACGTACGAAGAATGGAAAGTGGAGGATGCGAACGAGGATGGCACATCTTGGCAATTGTGGCTCGTGAATCTTACACTCTCTTTACGTATTTTGCAAGTTCGCGCTCTCTTGCCACCATTCTTCCTCATCCACTCCCTCTCACCATTGCTCTCTGTCTCTCTTTCTCTTTCGTTCTTTTCTCTCTTCTTGTACACAACGATCGGTCGGTGATAAAACCAGCCCATTGTTACTTATCCGGTCCCGAAAGTATAAACCCACCGATCAGCGACGACACAGTGTGGTGTTTCTCGTCGATATTGATTGCGAGGAGCATCCTATCCATTTCACACATCACTCGCGATAATAACCCGTTAACCGTTCAAAATGGCGATCGTCGAGCCTAATGAGAGTAACGAACAGAGAAGGGCAACTCGATGCGCCGTCTCGGCGAACAAGGTGCGCCGACGTACACCGTTTCTCCAATAGCGTGTTCAGCAGCGATTTCGAGTAGTCCGCCCGCTCGCCGTGCTGCCCGCGCACCTTTGATACGCGCGTTCTCTCGCGCGACCACCCGGGGTTATATTATACATTATCGATACTCGGGTCGCGGAAAGTCTAGCGGCGGTGAAATGCTCTAACATCTTTAGTTTATATCTAAACAGGAAGGGGGGAGAAGGATTGTACACAAATGTAGAAAGATTACATAAAAAAGATATGTAACAATATTAATACCTGCGAGATTTTTCAATACATAGTGAATGCCGCGCTGCTGTGAGATTATTGCATTAATAGTCTTTTCATTTTTTACGTCTGTAAAGTGAAATTTATCAAAATTGGTAAATTGAATATGATGCGCGCGCGTTGAGACAGATAATCAAACTCTCAACGTGCATATGTAAGAAATATTTGCTAATTTGTTTCAACTGTACTATTTTGTCACTGTACAAATTGTAAATAGAAATTCAATCGTACACTTGTCTTTTTTTCGATTGGACCGGCAAGCAGGCAACAGACAAAATCATCCTCTTATCAATATGACTACAGTTTTTTTTTTTCTTTTCCCGTTTGAGTATCTCGAATTAACTACAATTTTATCATGGGAGGGCACGATTTTAATCGGAAGAAAAATAAGTCGCATTATTTTATTTATATAACCCGTACTATTGAAGAGAGAGAGAGAGAGTCAACAAAGCGTTCAACCTGGAATACTTAATAATTTTGTTGTTTGTCGTTCTTCGATTCTTTCATGTTCCTTTCATGTTTCATGTCATAGACTTGTTTCAAAACACATCGAAAGTTTCTTTCGGCTCTCTGCTTGTCCCCGCTCCTGCTTCATTCGGCATTATTATCAGCTCTCTTGTAGTGTTTCCGCTACAAACCGGTGTGTGTAGACGATCGACTATATTACATTGACTGTTCTTTTCTTTTCTGTGACACAACGATGATGATGCAGCGGTTTTTACTCGATAACGTAAATAAGGAATCATATTCGATTCGCACTACTGTGTTAATTAGTTTATAGTTTGCAGATATTATTAAATAAAAGAAAACATTCGATAATGTCAGTAACGTTTGTTGGTCCAGGATATTTGGTGTACCTACGTTTATGTTTATACATACGTATATATGTATATATATAAATACGGTAGACCTCTATCTTTCTCACATTACATACATATTTGATGAGAAAGCAGTGTCTTACATGTGTATATGTATGTAATTGTAATATATATATGAAAGAAATATGCATATAATAATAGATGACAACATTGTATAGAAGAGAGATATTGAAATACACGAACGATTTTAAACATTATCGTCTAACGTCATTTTTGTACCACTAAATTTATTATTTTACTTCGTACATTTCAAGATATTGTTTTCTATGCATCGAGTTTTATACGTTTATTTCCATGTATCTAGAATAATTTTAACAACAGATTTTCAAATTATAGATGCAGTCATTGTAAAATTCGATATATAACACGCTTTTTTTTTACACATACAAATACACGCTCTCTTTCTTTTTACTCTCTCTCTCTCTCTCTCTCTCTCTCTCTCTCTCTCTC